GGATGAGGTATCATCTGTCACCACTAAATCATTTGGGTTTTTTTTAGCTATTAAAAAGACATGTAATTTTAAATTTTGTGGCCCATTACTGTGCAAATGCTATTGGGCTTGTTTAGCCTGAACCCACAGTCTAAATTCAAATCCCTTTGCTTTTGAGGAGACTGTTAACCACATTTTAGAAACACAGCCATCATAATCTAAAAATCAAGATATGAAAATAACTAGAAACAAATTTTATTTAAAGCAACTCTACAGGGAGCAGAAATGGGTACACAAATTTTCCAAAGCAATTCAGTGAACAAAATACGGAAATATGATAAAATAATGTGCAGCTTTCAAGTGATAAAGTTGAAATTGCAATTTCATCATCTCACTGAACCTGGGGGACAAAGAATTCCAAATAACTAGAAAAGCAGAATGCATTTAACCATTGCAGTCCTTTGGAGAACATGTAGTATTTGGATAGTCTCCACTTTTTTTATTAATAAACTAATTTATTTAGATATATGCATTCCTTAAAAAATATTTTAAAAAAGAAAAAAAGAAACAGCAACAAAAAACTTGAGGGTGGTCTAAGATGTCTGTCTTCTTTATGTAACCTTTTGCATTTTGTGTTTAAGAACTGACATTCCAAATTATTTTCTTTGGCTTTGTGCCTGGACTGAATACTGAGGCAGCAAATTAGGAATGCTTAAGAAGTCCCACAAAGAAAGATGTTTGCTGTGAAAGTGTAGCTAATGTGACACTTGCACTGGAAGCTTCTTAGCTTCCTCAAATGATAAAAGATGGCATCAGTCTAGGCAGTGTGAAGGGAGTGAATGGAGACTGAAGGTTCTGTGTGTTGAACTGAACAAGGTGTTTCTTGTGGCCAGTTTTCTGCCACTATGAGTATGCTGATACTACCTTTCATATCTATTCCAGGGGCTAACTTTGTTACTCGAAAAATTAGCCGATCAGTAGCAAAGATTCACCTCGGACAGCTGGATTGTTTCAGCCTGGGCAATCTGGATGCTAAGAGAGACTGGGGTCATGCCAGGGACTACGTTGAGGTAAGCTGTGGACCACGTGCCTTTTTCTGAATCGTCTTTGTGGTGATGATAACGCTTATTGCTGTAACTTCAGGTCATGGTCCACAGAGGGCTATCTCAAGATGTTTTGGCCTATTGAGGCCAGTTAATTTTGTCTTGCTCTTGATTTCAGACTAGAGAATTTAGTAACACAGCAGGTTACCCCAGGCATGACCTGAACAGAAAAATAAATCTTTGGGTTTACATTCCTTGACTGAATTCCCTGGGGGAGGGAGTTGATTATAAAGTGGATCTGTTTTAGAGTATTTCTCCTATTGTTTTGACAAATTTTATGACCAATATTAAGATTGCAGCAACATTCAATATGACCTAAAGACAAAGATACTGCTGGAGGTTGGTGGCCTTTATTATAATGAGGCAAGAATGATATCTTAATAATCAAAGATGTAGCTGGTTATACATTAGGAAGAAGCATCACAGCATAGTTGTGATGGCAGGTATTGCAATGCATATGCCTGCATCTAGTGTTTGAAACATTTCTTTAGTTAGGATTTGTTTCTCATTTTATTCTATGCATCTACTTAAGCAGGCAAACAAACAATGCCTCTGTATTGTATTACATGGAGACATGAATGACCATGTAGGAAATATTGTCTTTTCCCCAGGAGACTTTTGTCCCCATTTTGGTGCTTAAAGATTTCCTGTGGTCATTGGACTATTTCTGTCTTTTAATAATTCCTTGCTGGGAAACCGGATTTGGCTTCACCATTCATTGATGTAGTTTAAAAAGATGATGTCTGTTTGTTTTGTTTTTCTGTTTTACAAAGTAAGAAGTATTTCAGTAGGAAAAAGTCTGATTTGGGGTTTTTATCATAAGTTGAGATTTAAAAGGTAAAATAAAAGCTGAGCTCTCAAATCTTGTTTATGGTCAAAAAGAAACAGTGAGAAAACATAATCATAATACCACAATATAAATTTTATTCTGGATTGTATTTAAGAAAGTAAACAGACATATTGCCTTGACAATGAAAGGGTTACATCAAGTAAGAGAAGAAAGTGTTTTTCAGCAGCTGGCTATAAATAGAGTTGTCTTTTGGTTCTATGCTGCATTTGCATGTAAGGTGATAAAAGCACCATGAATGTCAGGACTCTGTCTCCATGACTGTTGTTTTATATTTGTGGCTACAATAATAGTTGAAGCAGTTAATCTAGTAAACCATCCCAATCATCTTTTTAATGGATAAAACTATGGTCAAGAGTGTTCATAAAGTCAGTTACCAAGTCTCAACAGAGAGGAAGTAAAAGATAAGCCAAACAAAATGAACAGTTGCATGAACATAATGAGCACAATTTGTTAATAGACATTGAATATTCCGTAAATACTCCAGCTATCTCATTCCAAGACAACTTGCACCAGATCATAAATTGTAGAATGAATTCTGATGTCTTCTTTCATAAGGGAAATCCAGAACAACCCTCTTGTGCCTAATGGGTCAGACACTTATCCTGTGTTCAAACTTTTAAAAACAAAAAGGAAATGAGAACAAGTCTATCCAGCAGAATTACTTGCTTTCAAGGCCTTTGGCCTCCAGAAAGAATGTAGTTGTCCAAGGTCTACAGCACGAACACATGTTTGTTGTGTAAGTACCATTCCAGACCTTTCAGCTACACGTTTTGGTCCTGTCCCAAAATGCTCTGGAAAGAATTCCTCACTAAAATATAGTTCATCTTGAGTATTTCTCTTCCCAGAGAGGTACCCGTCCAGATAATGAGACAGTTATTATCAATTCTCTAATTCCCTGAATATTGTGGAAATGTGGTTACAGGCAGCCTTCTAATGGCTAAAAAAGAGAGTAACTTTAAACTGGAAATAAACAATTATTTGAGGCTTTAATGGCCTGGAAAGTAGGGCTTAGAGATTTAATGTTGTTCAAATAAATACATAGCATGTTAGAAAGCATGATCGTATTTACAAGCATTTGGGGAGCTTCCTTAAACATATGGCTGAACACATAGGGATATATCTTATCCTCTCCATATGTACTTTTAAATCCCATTGATACTAATACAAGTAACACATGTGCGTATATACTAGAGCATGTACTGTGTTTTCTTTCTTCTTATTTCCTTATTAGGGATAATAATAAAAACATAAATACATTTGTTTTTGTTGTTTCATAAAACACTATGGGTCAATTCCTGATCTCAAGAAAGTTGATGACCAGACTCCCATTGACTTCATGAAGTGATCATATTCTGTATGTACTAGAGTGAAGAACGTCTGGTAGTCACAAAGCACATGCAGAAGTCATGACTTTTGAGCTTTGATCACATGCATTCATTTGACTGCCACTGTCATTTTGGGCAAATGCTTCTGTGTACAGCAAAGCAGGGAAGTGTGTTCCTGCACTGAAGCATGTAGGTGTCCACCAAGGGATGGACAGCCAACGTGCTCTGTGTCAGCTGTGGCTTGAGGTCAGCTTCAGTAGCAGATAATTCAGAATGTTGATGTTTAAGCATAGGTTGATATCAGGGGAGAATAGTTGGAATATGTGTTTGATTAGGTTTTTGAGCTGGGATTTGAACTACCACCTGCAGGAACTGAAAATCAGGTACAGTGGCATTGTGCTGGTGAATGAAAACCAGGAAGTCTAACTCACTAGAAAGAAAGGTTTCAATTCAGTGTTTGAAGAGAATGAAATAGAAATAAGTAGGCATCAAAACTTTTGGTGGGGGATTATTAGGTTTTTTTGCAGAAATTGCTGCTGCCTCTTACTCCCCCATTCTCCACTTTTACTCTACTGTGATCCAGCACAACTCTCGTGGGATGGTATTAGAGGTGACGATCGATGCCACTGAGTTGGAACAGGAAAAACAATAAATTGGCACAATTGATATATTAATCTTCAGTGTGCTATTGTGTTTTATGAGGGTAACTTACACCTTTTATTTGTTGCAGAAAGTTCTAGTAAACCATCTGCTAGGTATTTTCAAATATTAGTACAATAGCAAGCCTTAACAGTCTGACTCCTTTCTATGCCATTGATAAAACACAAGGCATCATACACATTTCCTCAGAGTCTTATTTCAAATAAATACAGATTCTCAGAAACATTTAACTTGGACTATTAAAATAATGCCCATCAATCCATCACTAGTCTGTTGTTTTTTTATTTCCTACATGCTAAATATTGTAAGTGAAGTCATGTAGATATACCTGTAACTGAAACCTTGAAGTGTTGTTCTTGGGGACGTAATAAACATATTTATTTGTAAAGATGTAAACAGAAAGCCAACAAATAGAACATAGTCATATGAGAAAGTGGCTCTGGGAAAAGAGCAAGTTCATATTAGGATTCAACAGCTGAGACTTTTTCTTCCTTTCCTCTTTACCACCTGCTGATGCTCAGGTTGCCTTCTGCAGCTGCACTGCCCACACCTCAGTGTTGTGCAGAGAGCAGAAATACTGCACTGATGAATGCTGTGGAAAAGCCTATCAATACATATCTCACAAAAGTTAAAAAAAAAACAAGTCAAAGGTAACAGTTTTAATAGTCTTAAGTATTCATACAGATCAGAAATATTTTCTTTTCCCTTCAGCAGTATGTCAAGTAATAATTACAGAGAACTCATGATTGGGTCATAGTTGGCTCCAATTCAATTAATTACAGGTCTGGTAAAATGCTTAAAAGTAAGCATGTGCCTAAATTCATGGTGAAATCAGGGACCATATTCTAAATGTAAGGCAATCAGCTTCCATTAATGTATATTTAAATAATGTTTTAAAAAGCAACACAAAAAGGAATAGTTTAAACAAAAGTAATATAGTAAGTTATTGTACAGTCCAACCAAGCACATTAAGAATATGTTTAATGAGAGACTTTCCATATTTATTTTTTTTAAATAGGTACTGAAGCTGATTCATACTTTACTTTTTTATAAAAATGCACAAGAAAATGCACATTTTTATTGTCTTAAACCATTTTGCACATGTTGAAGTTGAGATAGTAAAATCTAATCTACAGTGATGCCTTCTGCATTTAAATCTCCAGTCAGCATCACCTGATCTTTTATTCATAATTCTTCTGTTCACTATTCTTATAGGTATTGACCCTTGGAGACAGCTGCTACCATTTCTGTTGTGGGAAATCCCTTCTTGTATGTTTGTGTGTACGTTTAAATATAAAAACTCCTGCCAAACAAAATTATTTAAAGTTTTACTTTACTCTTGTGCATAAGAAAAGGATTCAGCCAGGGAGACTGTTGGCCAGGGCATTTCTAGTTATGTTTTGTTGTTTTCTTGGAATGTTAAGGATGTGTCGTCTTTTGAGATACATTTTACAGAAGTTGGATGAGACTTGGAAGTTTTTTCTGACACATTATTTCATCAGCCTACCAGAATCTTTGCTTGTGACAGTCTTGCTTTGTTGAGGATTGTTGGTTATGAAAGTAAAGTCAGTAATTAAAGTCTGTGTAACTACCAATACCTCATATGGTTATGAGATTGGCTCATGAATTTAAAGGCATGCTTTTAAATGATGATTACCCTTTTGTTATGGACTGAAGTGAAAAATGTTTTTCCCTTCTTACTGCTTAGTTTTTGTGCTCAAATTTAATACTTCTAATAAAAGTTAATAAATAATTTTAAGTCTTCAATGCTGGACTTCTTTGAGTATGAAGGTAAAGATTTTTTTTTTGTGCCATCCAGGTACTCAAGTGTATTTTGTGTATTTCCAAATGATAACATTTTCTTTCCCTCAGCTTGCTTGATCTGGCTCTATTAAGCCAAATTGATCTTAAAATTATATCCAATCTTCTCTGATCAAGATGATGATCTACTGAACTGGTTATCTTATTGCTGCTGTCTAGGTAAAGTAATTGTGAGAGCAGCTGGGCTTGTATGAACCTTTAGGAGAAAAATCTGATAGCCTCTTCTCCTTTGGAACAACTACTGAGCATTCATAAAACTCTTGACAGATACTTGCTGAAGCAGTATCTTTTCTTGAAGCACCTGTATCAGA